AATACAGTAGAAAACGGGGGCAAACTTTAGAAAACAATGAAGTGTTCAGCGCCCTTGTTCACGGCGCGAGCAAAACATTATGGAAATGCGCTTGTGAATCAGCGGGGGGAAAGGCGGGCGGAAAGGGCACAAAATAGAATGGTCAAGCTTTGGAGGGTGATGAAATGTTTCAGAGTACAGATTTTACAAAAATATGAATTTAATGTGAAATTTGGAAAAGTTCGGAAGCTACCAAGTTTTTTTTGTGTCTAATATATTTTTTGAATTGTTTCAGTCATTCTCCAAAAAATTGGGCCGTTACAAATAAAAAAAAATTGGGAATGAGCTAAATAATGAAGTTTCGTTAAATTAAAAATGACAAAAGCAAAAATCTCGTTTTTTCGTTGTAACGTGGAGTTTTTGGAGCGTAGAAGGAGCAAGAGGAAAACTCTTAAATTAAAAAAAAAATGCCACGCATTGATAGCGCAAATTTTTTTTGTTTATGCGCCTACGCTCAGGCATTATAGCCCAGTTTTCTCATAAATAACCACAAATGAGGTTAATAAAAAGGTATGCAGAGGACATTAAACCTAGAAAACGGGCAACCAGACAGCTTAATTTTATTAGCGCGTACGGTAGAGGAATTACGGTAGAAAGCTCTACTGCATGAAACACCACAAACTCCAAGGGGTTCTGTTCGACCTCCAGTTAACCTTGTGCTTTCCAAAAATTCCCACGAACCAGACGCTTCCGGTCCGCCCGACCTTCCGGCAACGCCTATCACCCGCGGATCTTCGATTTTTTTCGGGCCGGGTGTCCCCCGATTCCGCCCAAGTAATGCGAACGGAGCTCTGGGGGAGAAGAACTTTGATGGTGGTCGGGACATCGAAAAGGAAGAAAAAAAGGTGGTGCTGAAACTCCTACAAAATGACTTGATAGCCGGGATGGTGGCACATTGTGGTTCACAATTTATAGCTGAGTGTAAAGAGGATTCGGGTGGACTTGAAAACGCCAAAAAGCCGATTTTAAAGGCATTGGGAAGTGTGGAAATCGCCCCTTACGCCGACGGGGTGTCGACAACCCCGATTATAGCCTTTTAAAGGGAAGGAAAAGCGGCGCGACATTTTGTTAGCAATGGAAATGGATGTGTTTCGTACCGTTAAATAGGTATCGTAAGCGATTATCGGCTCAAAACACAGTTTAGAACCGAAAATCACTTTAATGTTAAGCATTTAGCATCGAAAAAGTCCAGAAGCCCACTGACCTTTCCCACTTATAAAACAGGGCCCAACAAAAATATTTAGCGACCCGCGGGGAGGACTACACAGGTGAGTGTAAATAGGCAAGCCACGTTCCGGGAGGGCCGCCGGTATTCCCCCGTTTCTTTGGGTCTCTCTCTTCTCTCCCTCTCCTCTCTCTCTCTCTCTCTCCTCTCTCTCTCTCTCTCTCTCTCTCCCACCCTCGCACCCATATTTTCTTCCCCCTCAATAAGAAGTGGTTGATTTGACAACGGCGAGGAAAACAATGTCATACGCTTCCCCCGGTTCCATGTGGCGAAACACCGGAAATGCGCCGCCCGCTAAAGGGGAAGTGTTGACCCTCAGGAAATGAGTGAATAAAAATAGGACATGACAATTAATGGACATTAAAATTAGGCAATTATGCTTAGAAGGGTCGATCGGAGTAAGATCACTCATGGAAGCATTATTACACTAGTAAAGGTACCAACAAGGCTAATCCATATGGTCCACCAACAGTAAGGAAATAGGTGACGGTAAAGCTGCCGCCTAAGAATATGAGCTAAAGTCTTACGGTATTTGGTATGCAACTGCAACAACTGATTGCAAAGACCTTTATGGCGTTCAAAAGGAAAATGGGCACGGCAGCTTTTAGTTAGAAAAAAATTGACCATAGGGTAGCTAGGAATACTTTAGAAAGCCTTAAAAATACCGTATCAAAAACCTCGTCGGCTTACGGAAGCCCATCATACATAAACAAAACCAGTACAGTACGCTACGCTCCTTGGTACGGTACCATGGAACTTATTAAGTGCAGTGGTCGGTGGCCGCCGAGGACCTTTAAAATCTAATGTAAGCTACACAAAAACGTCGGGAATTCACCGCGGTATTTGAAGTCATGATAGATGTTAGCCCACGCGCGCGGCCGCGTGACGGCTCGCCGATGCGTAACAATACATCACGGATCGTAGATCTGACTGATCTGTCCGCCTTGAAGTATGCGATATCAGAAAAATTGAGCACGGCATGAGACGCCACGAGTTACAATAGTAATAAAGAGCTGAGCGGAATATAGCAATTCTAAAGCCGCTCTCGATTCCCCAACTGACCATACCCGTCCTACCGGATGGTAGTGGTAGAGCAGTGGTTATGGTGTTGGTGGCAGTGATGGTAGATCTCCACCCCCAGCCTTCTCCATCCATTGCCCCCACCGTCCATTTCCGATTCGACCGGTTCCCCCCTTGATTGCTCCTTTTTAATGTGGGTGGGATCTGTGTCCTTCTCCTTTTCCCCTCTCCCCCCGATTTCTAAGCAAATCGAAGCGCGCACCGGAAGTCTATTTTTGGAGGAGGGACTCGCTTTTTGGGTGCAGCGACTCATTGCAGGGTGGAATTACTCAATGGGTATGATGTTGATGAGGTGGACAAGATTACACGATAGCTTCCGGAAATTGCGCTGAAATTGGGAGTTGAGGCATCAGGTAAGGGTTATTTAAAGGGGCCCCGCACACTCTCTGGCGCACTGGTTCTCTCTCTCTCTCTCTCTCTCTCTCTCTCTCTTTCTCTTTCTATCTCTGTCTCCCTCTGTCTCTCTAGCTCTTTCTCTTTCTCCCTCTTACTCTCTCTGTCTATCCTCTTTCTTCCTCACTTTCCGGCGTTATCCATAGAAAAACGTCATTTGGCGCTAAAAGTAGCTGTCGAGACCTAGTCACAGGAGGGGTAGATTTTTTCGTTTTCAGCTTCTTTAAAGTAACAAAAGGCTAGAGCATGATCCAGAGAGAGAGAGAGCCGGAGAGATAGGGGCAAGGGAGAGAGGGCAATGGAGAGAGAGAGAGAGAGAGAGAGAGCGAGAGAGAGATGAGAACGACCTAGAGAGATAGCGAGCTTCAGCGATCGACATAACAAATTACGTTGTGCGAGAGATAAAAGTGAGAGCGAGAGCGATAGAGCCAGAGAAAATAAGAGAACGAGGATAAAACAGTGAAATCTGGAAAAACTATGTAAGCCGCATGATAAAACAACAAATTGTGCCTGAATGGCCATTTTCTAGCATATCTAGACAATAGTTCATTTTAAAGCCAAGTAAGTTTCAGTGCCCTTGTACCGCCTCCATATTTCCAAACGGCCGCAGCCGGAAACCCCCCCCCCCCCCCACAAGTGCACTATAAATTCGAGTGATGCCATCAGCCATCACTCACAAAACATGACCCGTTTTGCTCTTTCTGTCCCTCTCTCCATCAAAGTACCCGCTTGTCGAAGAATTGCTCGGGATCTTTGTTTTGACCGTTTTTATTTGTGGTTGATTGGTTTGTTGAGCAGTGAACTTGGAATTTCTAGAAAAATCGTTGTGGCATATTCAAAAAACACGAAAAATTAGGGAAACTAGCAATTTTAGAACAAAAAAGCAATCGCAAAAGACTGGTAAATACAAAAGCAAACCGTTAGCAAAATCGGATTATTACAATTTTGATATGCATCGGAAGCTCCTAACGAGCTGAAATGAATGTTCTTTTCGATTTTCAAAATTCTAGACATCTTTTACCTAATTTTCGGCATTTTTCAAAAAAGTTAGACTTTTTCTCCAAAAAAAATCAATTTTAAGCGCCAACAAAGCTGTGCGTTCTCAAATGGCTATGAGAAAACGTCTTTCGAGCTCCGAGAAAACAGTAAAAATTCCGAAACTGTGCTATGATAAACCCTAATCGAAAAACCACCAGAGATTTGGCGCGTTTCTCAAAAATTCTAGTAAGCCTAACAAAAATAACACAAAAAATAACCAGACCATGACGCAAATGAATTTAGTCGTGTTGTAGTGGTATTAAATGGATGTCACAATCGAATTCCGGTAAAAATCAGCTTGAGAAACGGATTTTGAGGATGAGCTCAAAAATTTCCGACTCCACGAAAGCGCGGCGGCTGAAAAATGGATGTATGGCGGGAACCGTGGCCGGTACATAGACCGTCGGCCTGCCACCACTCCATCATTCATCCAACATCAACCTTTCGGGATATCCGACTTTTTCGTTTCTCTCCCTCTCTTTCTCTCTCTCTCTCTCGCTCTCTCTTTCTCTCGGGCTCAGCTTTTTTCTTGAAAACGACAGAGACGCGCTGGTCCCGCGCACTCTGTACAGGACGATCAACGCCGGGCCGGAAGCCGTGGAATGATGGTGTCGATAGGAGTTGGATGGAACAAGGACAAATCCTTGGGGCAATCCGGAATGGATCACGTGCCCCTCACATTCAAGCGGGTACAGCTGATTTTTTGGAGACGGTGCGCGGGTTTTTAGGCTGGAGAGAGAGGAAGAGAGCGAGAGAGAGAGAGCGAGAGAGATGGAGTAAAAGGATACCGACTTTTGGATCTCAAAAATACTGTAGGTGTGTGTTTGTGGGTTTTTAATAGCCCGTCTGTCGCCCAACTTCGAGCAGTTCAATCTCTTTTGGCGAGAAAGACAGACCGATAGACAAGCGGCCAGAGGCTGTACAGCGACAGAAAGAAAGAAGAGAGACCGAGAGAGATAGAGAGGGAGAGAGAGCGAGAGTGCGAGAGACTGAGGGGAACAGAGACAGGTAGAGGGATGGACGGTTCGAAAGAGCGTTCAAACGTGCTTTTTGCAGTCTTAGACATTCAAACTCACTGTGTTTACTTCAATTATGGAACCGAACTCGACTTGTAGCACAACTTCAAGCAGTTCAACCCACTTTAAAGGGACAATCCGTCCCCGAATCACTTTATTCTCATTGTCCATAATGTACAGGTACGAAAATACTCTCAAAACATCACTTATCCGAACATGATCGAATTCGTCTGGCTGTTGAAGCCGCCCTGCTTTTGGCTCTGGTAGCTGCCCCAGGTGTTACGGGATGATTGGACGATGCCGGGGAAGTTCCCGCCCATTCCGGCTGCTGGAAAATGTTAAAATAGGATTTTGACGGCCAGAACCCGTCTTTATTTTCTAACTCAAAACCTTAAAGGGGATGAGCAAGCATCTGTTGATCCCCCATCTGGGAGGGGATCAACAGCTGGCAAATTGCCAACCGGGGGAGATAGGGCGCCCAGTTGAGAGGCGCAGAGAAGCGCCTTTCCGCCGCGTAACCGATTGTCATATGCCCGCGCTACCACTTTAAGAAGCTTCTTACCCATTTGCCCAAACGACATGCCAGGGAAGCCGCCAAATTGTCGTCTGGCACGCTCATGGGGTCTAGAAACCACAAATTAACAGGGCTTATGGGCGTATGCTTAATCGACTCTATTTGGAATTTAGAAGTGTTTAGATTGTAAATTTGCGGTATTAGGATCTTTAAAAATGCCGTTTTACTTAAAAGATTAGAGGATTAGCATTATTGATGAAACAAAATTAATTAATGAAATTTGCTATAGCTATATCAGCTTTGAAATTTTTTTGCTCGACTGACTTGGCAGAATCCAGTCGCTCCGTTTCTTCCGCGGGTCTCGCCAGAATCGACGCCATTCCGAAGACCGCAACGAGCGCGAGAAGGAGCACGAGTTTGGTCATTTTACAGCAAGAATTGGTTTGAAGCTTAGGCTACAAGAATTAGCCTTGATGAACCCGATTTTATACCATAACCCCCACCCAGCTAGTGGCCGAACACCCTAGAGGGTAGCTCGAAATTCGGCAAGTGTCCTCAAAGATCCGGGAAGTGAGGCATTTTTCTCGGAAATATTGCTCATCCTCCCAGCTGGTATCAACTCGGTGATTTTTCAGGCTCGGCGAGTGCAGGTGGGTGAGAGTTGCTCATTTTTCTCTGGAGAGGGAGAGAGAGCGAGAGCGAGAGAGAGAGAGAGAACGAAAGAAAGCGGGAGAGAGCGAGAGAGGGAGAGAGAGGGATATGGATAAAGCAAGACTGCGTCCGTCCTTTATTCGAGCACAAATCCACAAAAATTGCAAAGACACTTCATGTCAATTTACACACAAAAATACACACAAAACGAGTATCGCATCCGTTTAGTCCATTTGTTTCTCGTTGTTTAATATGGGCACGGTCCGTCAAAGTTCATCGGCGCCCCGCTCATCTGGAATTCAAATTAAAGCGGTCCAGACTTAAAAGCGAACCCTAGATTTCTCTTCTGCGGCCTCCTCTTCTTTGATTTGCTTCTTCTTCCTGAAAATGATGATAAATTTATCTGTTCCATAGACTTCCGTTAGGCTTAGCGTAGGCTTGGCTTGGGCTTAGCTTAGGCTTAGCTTAGGCTTAGCTTAGGCTTAGCTTAGGCTTAGCTTAGGCTTAGCTTAGGCTTAGCTTAGGCTTAGCTTAGGCTTAGCTTAGGCTTAGCTTAGGCTTAGCTTAGGCTTAGCTTAGGCTTAGCTTAGGCTTAGCTTAGGCTTAGCTTAGGCTTAGCTTAGGCTTAGCTTAGGCTTAGCTTAGGCTTAGCTTAGGCTTAGCTTAGGCTTAGCTTAGGCTTAGCTTAGGCTTAGCTTAGGCTTAGCTTAGGCTTAGTTAAGGCTTGGCTTAGTCTGAACTTAACTACCTGCAGAGCGGGATACAAATCGCGACACAGCTGGCAATGTAGCAACAGCAGCAGCAGCAAATCAACAGGGCTGGAAGGAGACGAATTTCAGGATGGATTAAAGGGAGTGTTGATGCGAAAATATAGGCTCTTACTTGGCTAAGATCCGACAAGGACAAGCCAAAATAAAGCACACAATAGCGAATTTTAAGCAAATTTAACTTATTGCGACTGTTTTGGGAGCGTAGTTTTCAAGACCTAGTCGACGCGATGGGTCGATTCTAGCACTTTCTAAAGGGAGTGGGTCCGTAAGTCAGACAGTCTCTGGCTGGCAGTGCTCTTTTGAAGAGACAAGGAAGTGGGGGCAAAGTGGCCCCTCCACAGGTGTGAAATCAGTCTTATTCTGAAATTCGGGACACTCGCCCTTTCAATTCTGCTCCTCCCATCCTCCCAACCCATTCATTCCATTTCACAATAAAAAACCCACCAAAAATAATCCCGAAGAGCATCTGGCCTTCAGCTTTAGCCGAGGGCCCATCGTGAGCATCCGTCCCGCGGGGGTGCTGAGGATCGCGCGTTCGATCTTGGGCATCGAGTACAGTAGCAAGGAGGGCGAGGGCAGTGAATAGTGGGCGCCACATCGGGGGCCAGGATTTGGGGGTTAATGAGGGTCGAATTTGCTCTTGTTGTGATATGCTAATTTAGAACCCAAATATATTTTCTAAGTGGACGTGAAGCAAGACGAGAAAGAGAGAGAGGTAGAGAGAGATGAGAGAGCGATAGAGCGATAGAGAGCGGGAGAGTGAGACAGCGTGGGGGTGAAAGAGAGAGAGAGAGAGTAAGTGAGAGCGAGAACGAAAGTCGGTGAGAGGGATAGTGTGAGAGTAAGAGTGCGAGAGAGCGAGCGAGAGGGTGAGTGAGAGAGAGCGTGAGAGAGAGAGCGAAAGAGACATTTAGCTAGCTCAATCGAAAGCTAGCAATCTTACATACCATTTCTCGCACTTTTTTCTTTTTTCTTTATGCTCATTCCCCAATAGGTGTCAATAGGCCCGTAACGGAAAACTGGTCTCCCCGGCAGCCCTTTCCGTTTGCTGACCTTATTTGGCACATCCGCCCCGATGGATTGATAATGGCTCCCCCCCATCCAGCCCTTCGCTGCCCCTTTCCATTAATAACTGACCGTCAGCCAATAAATACATTCATAATTATTGGATTTTTCAACCAGAAAATTTGTTTACTTAGCTAAGCCATGGATAGGTTGATTTTTCTCTCCTCGACCCAGGTTCAGGTCTCTATAAAGCCGCACTAATTACTTTTTCGTCACCTAAACAAGTACTTTTTCTTTTTCAGGTGACGTAAAGCGGTTCGCAAATTAGAGGCATTATATCAAGTGGATTGTGCGTTGTTTTTGAAGGTCTAATGGATTGGTAGGTATAGGAGAAAGCGGTTTTCCCCCTGCTAAAAATCCCCCCCCCCCGCTAACAATTCAGAACCTAAAGATTTTCATAATTGCGCTAACAGTGTTTTTGCATTGGGAAAAGGGGTACTGGACTATTAACGGGGGGTGGCGAGTATTCGCTTTAGAGATGTACGGGCTGGTTGCAAAAGAGTTTGTTTCCCCGCGAAAAAATCCGTCCCCCCGTTAAAAGCTCAGTACCGAAAAATTTAAATCAAGCTAAGGTTTTAAGTTTTTCAAAGTTTTTCGCTACCAATTCTCGATACAAAAACTCTCACACCCGAACCGCCCTGCCACGCGTTCCCGGGGCGTTTTTCGCTGTGACAGCAGAGTTTTTCTTCTTTGCCTGTGTGGCATTCTCCACTGCCTTCCCTTGGCTGCTCGACCCCAGCAAGCGGGGAGCAAAACAACTTTTTCGTTGCCAGCCGCTCCTTCTCTTTCCTATCACAGCCGGGGGAACGGCGCCCTGCTTCCGGATATGCTCGTTTATGGTCAATTTTGCGTTTTGTTTCTTTATCCTGTTTTTTGAGAGGCAAATAGGGTTTATTTTGGTAAAAGGTTTCAATTTTCCGCTTTTCTGAGCAGTTTCAGGTGTGACTACTGTGCCCATTTTTGTATTTAATAACAAGAATTTATGTTTTGCTGGTATTTAATGATTTTCAGCACATTTAACTGCCGTAATCCATCGTTTACGTCCCTTTATGCGTCGATATTAGTCTGTATTCTTCCTTATTAAGCCTGGCTCTAGGCAAGCTTTTTGAGCTATTTTGCCACCCTAAACATTTCCCTTAATTGATCACGTACCTTTAATACTTTTTTTGATAACGAACTCTATTGCTCCTTTTTATCGATTTTTTTGCAGTCTCATTTACTAAATAGAGATCCATTTTCAGATGAATTCCGTAGATGAGCAACTCCCAGAACCAACGACCTCCTGGGGCAGCGACGAGGAGGATTTTCATTACCCAAAATCGATTTCGCGAGTATCGAGTTATGGATCATTGGATCAAGTGAGCGGATTTACAGGGATTAAAACGTGTTCTTTATCGATACCCAGCCGATGGGCAGGCAAATTTTTATACAGCGTTAGCGAAAATTTAGCTATCAAAATCAGAATTAAGTTACAACCATTTGTTCAGGAAGTACAAGCGGCGTGCGAGCGGCAATACTCGGCCGACGGGTTGGACCAGTTGAGCTTTTGCTTGAGTGAGGTGAGTAGGGGAACGTTAAAGGGATTATCAGCCTTAAGTTGAGGATATAGATATCTTTGATTTATGGATATGATTTGAGGATATAGATATCTTTCTTTGAATCAAATTAAGCAAAAATAGCGTCCGGAAATCCATTAGAGATAAGTTGTGTCAGCCTTAGGGTTGTTTTTAGTATCGTAATGTATCGGAGGAGCGAAGGAAAGAGAGAGTGAGAGAAAGAGAAAGAAAGAGAGAGAGAGAGAGAGAGAGAGAGAGAGAGAGAGAGAGAGGCGCGAGCGAGAGACAGAGAGAGAGCCTCGTGAAGGCATGTGGAGGGGGTGTTGATCGGATCGATCGGTGTTGTGTGCCCTGGGGGCATCCCCTTTCTTTCCTATCCACGATCCACCAGCGTACACCCGGCAAAAAAACAAGTGATCTTTGCACTTTGCCCTCTGCCATGCGTACCCATTTTTAGCGCCTTTGCATGGATTGATTACGCCATGTAAAAACCTGGAAAGCTCTCAGAAAAAGCTGCTCTCTCCGTTTCCAGAAAAAGTAATGATTTTTATTCAGGGTCATTTACTTAGATTTTTATAGCCTACTGGCAAGCTTGGATTTCGATGTTATAATATTTTAAAGGTATTTTGATACTAAAATAGCCATTCCACTAATTTTAGAACAAAATAAATTCTCGGGCCAAAAACACCAGCAGAAATACTTGTTGTTTCCCCGCCTCTATTTGTCGATTCTCGATTTTATTTTCTCGCCGCGGCCCCATCAGATACCGGGACCTGTATTCCTCAAGTCAGAAAAGACAGAAAGTTTGTACAGCTCTACCTCCACGCCGGCCGATCTTGGCATTCTAAAGGGCAACACACTTTCCCAGGCTCCTCCCCTCCCCCCATCCACCTGTTTTGCCCTCACCTTACAGTCACGTGGTCCCATATTTTGGCATCGGTTCAGCACTGATTTTGATTTGACAAAGGACTTTCGGCTGTCTGCTGATTTGATAAGTTTTTGTGGTATATTTTGGGGATTAAAGCTGTAGAAATTTTTATTATTTTTGGCATCTATTTAAATTAGGCTTCATTGGTACGCCTGAGCTTTATCCAAAATTACTTAAATTTTTCGCTAAAGCGGTTTTAGTCGATATATACTTTCAGATAGTTTCCGGAGCTTTTTTAGTGGGATAAAGACGTAAAAAACTTTAAAAAGTGCGGAAAAGACATTTTTCAAATCCTAATTTGCATATATTGACTGTCCCTGCGCCTTCAAAATTTTCTTATTACTATAAAGCGCTTCCATATTCTGTTAAATATTCTTAAAAAAAGTTTTATTCAGCGACTCAGACTAAGCCTAAGCCTAGGCCTAAGAGTAAAACTAAGCTATACCTATGCCTCGGCCTCTGCCTAACAAGGGAAGTGCACGACCGGCCCACGAGAAATCGACACGAGACATCGTGGATCTGATAGAATCGGACACGGGGATTCCGAATCTGTAATCAGAATTTGCTAAATAAAACGGACAAAAAGTTATGAAGCTTCAAAGTTGGTAAAATCGCCCGAAATCGGATTTTTATGGGTCTGTAAAGGCCCAAGGAGTCGAAATTTGCCACAACCCATTAGTGCATCTTGTTCAGAAGAAAAAGCGCTTTCGAATGAGCTATCTTACTTCAAGTTTACGATGATTTCGCGAAAATCTCTTCTATGAACTTCCTTGCCCGTGAATCCAAAAAACACTTTTTTCAGTGAATTGTTTGCAAATGCTACGTATCACAGCTCATTCGAACGCGCTTTTTCTGCTGAACAAGATGCACTATTTCTTTTCTCCTCAATTCCGTTCCCCCGGTTTTTACGGGTCCTTGAAGGTACCGTTTTTGGCGATTTGGCCAACTTTGATGCTTCATAACTTTTTTGTCCGTTTTATTTAGCAAATTCTGATTACAGATTCGGAATCCCCGTGTCCGATTCTATCAGATCCACTATGTCTCGTGTCGATTTCTTGTGGGCCGGTCGTGCACTTCCCTTGTAAGCCTAAACATATGCCCAAGCCTAAGCCCAGTCAACGCCAAGCCTCTTTTGCAAAAACTCCTTGATCCCAGTTTCGTGCCGATCGGCACAATTCCGGTCCCATTTCCGAAACGCTGTCAATTTTCGGCTCTCCCTCGGTTGAACAGTGGACTTTGCCCGCTTCCCGGTTGTATTTTTCCGTCCCCTCGCCTCCGATTGCAACCCTCTCCTCCCAGCCATTATCGCCATCTTTTTGGTTCTTTATTTCTCTAATCCTCTTCATTTCTCTGGTCTCTATTCCCCATCCCTGACAGCAATTCTAGTCCGAGCCCGCACACCCAAAAAAAAAATGCTGATCGTGGCTTATCGTTGGGCGAGCCTAGAGGCCATTCTATCACTGTGAATTTCGTGTGTGTTCTTCGGTTTTGGTTGTTGTTTTGGTAATAGCTCAATTTTAGCTGTTTCAAAGGGACTGGGGAGCTGGAAAGGATCAATTTTATTGCATAGTTGTTACCAAAAGTTCCAAAGATCGTTTTTATCGGTTTAAAACAATTTTTAAGGCCCTAGGACGTGCTGGAATCGGGCCCTTTACCTCGTCTAGGTCTAGGAGCGGCTTCAAATCAAGCTTATAAGCGCTTTTTGATGGTCCATCGACTCTTGAATTTCGAGCAGAAACGCTATTGCAACCGAATTTTGGCTTGCTGTGTAGCTGTCGAGATTTAGTCGATTGAAGGGGTCAAATCCTTTCCTTTTGGTCCCTTTAAAGGAACTTCGATAGCACAATTTTGCCCTCGCTATTTTTCAAAAGCCCTCTTCTTCGTTTTTCTGAAACACTTAGAAGCTGTCGTGGCCTAGTCGATGGAGGGGGGTCGTTTCCTAGGTGCCTAGTCCCTTTAAAAGCCTTCAGGAGCGCTTTCGAGCAACATCGTAAAAAGGTAAATCTTCAAAAAAATTGCTTTTGATAAAAACGGTTTTCCAAAGTTATTCAGAATCAATTTTTTTCTGGCAGTTTAAATTTGTTAAATCAAGCGTATCAGCTTTCCCCCCAGATTCCCACTGTCCACGGACGACAACAACAAATATGACGTCACGTTCCCCGCGTGGCATAGACTGTTTCACCCCTTTCACGATTCTCCCTTGCTACCCGTTTGCACTTTTATCTCGAATTTTACCGCCGAATTTTCCTGGGGAGTCTTGCAAGCTTCCGCTGGGGTACTTGGGACATTGGACAATTAATCTTCGAAACAAAAAGGTCGATTTTAGCAAAACTTTATGTGTTTTTCATGTCTTAACCAGTTAGCCCGCTTTTATCCACCAAATCTTTTTTCTGATATTTTTCTGTTTCCTTGTTCTTTTTAATCCTTGTTTGGGATTATGATGAAACAGCTTTTTTCAGCTTTTTTATCAGCCTCTATCTTTCGCCTTCCAAATGCCTCTCGATCAGCATCTATCTCTCGCCCTGTCGTTGGCCTCTCTCTTGGTTCTATCTATCGTCCGCTAGATGTCTCTGACTCTCTCTCTCTCTCTCTCTCTCTCTCTCTCTCTCTCTCTCTCTCTCGATCGTCTCTCCCCCCTCCCCCTTTCCCCCCTCCCCCCCAAATCATGTTTCTCCAGAATCAAAATGATGGAAATCGAACGAGAATTCCCGCGTCTCTCCCCGATCGTCTCCCCTCCATCGTCGATTTTCTCCGAGGAGCTGAATTTGGATGGTGATGAGGGCCTCTCATCGCCATATTCCCCACCCGGACCTCTGTCCCCATCAGAATACTGTGGACCGGACACAGCACAACTCCTCGAATTTGTCAATTCACGGTTGTCAAGCGTTGATCAGAACGATTTTGGGTCTGACATTACGTCAATGGTGTGTATTTTAAGGTGTTCTTTTAATCAAGGTATCAGCAAGTTTTATGTCGGCATTTTTAATGGAATCGTAGAAAATCTACAGTGGATCCAAAGACGCTATTGTTGTTGATACCATTTATACAAAATCTTTCACTATATTTCTGTTTTCAGGCCTCTTCCGACACCCGAGAAATCAGCGGCTCTCTCTTCTATGATGTAGTACAGGTACCGTAATCTTTTTAAGACCCTTACATTAGCTACGTGCGGTTTATCGATCATAAACTTTTTTTAAATATCTAATTTATAATACGAAATTCCAGGCCCAAGTTGCGCTGTGGACGTGTATATTTTCGTTACTGTACTCTTACGCCTGGCGACAACACCGGAAAAAGTTTATCATGAGTATTGTGAGTTTTTAATCCGCTTGTATGCTATTAAAAAAACTAATAAAATTTACAAAAATTAAAGGTAATTTAATTAACCTTCAAAATTACAGTTCATCATCGTCCCCACCGTCTTCACAATCTGCTGCCTCATCTCCACACTTTTGACGACGATCGTCGTCCTCGGCAGGCTATTCTCCAGCCCATATACCTACACGGATTTCCTTAATCTTAAGGAAAAGATCTTACCCGGTAGGCTGACCTGATCAAGCTGTTCAAATCCGTACCTTGCAGCCGACAGCGACATGGCCCCGACCGGGCGGAAACGAACACTTTCCGGCGCTTCGACTATCAGCTGGCACAGCGAGGTCGGACAGGTGAGGCTTTAAGAAAGCGGCTAAAAGCTGACTAAAGTTTTTTTTTTTTTTTTTTTTTTTTTTTTTTTTTTTTTTTTTTTTTTTTTCTTAAAGCTTCAAAGCGGACCCTTTTTTGCCCCCCTTTTAAACCCCCCTAATTTTTCCCCCCCTCCCCCCACTTTTTCCCCCCGTTTTTTTTTTTTTTCTTTTTTTCCCAAACTCGGAAACTTGCTGTTTTTCAGCAAGACGTCCTTCCGCGTCCCCTCTGCCGACGCCATTCCGCCTCGAATGGTTCTGTGAACGGCTCGCGGCCGCCGTCCCGGAAACTCTCGTACTGCTACAGTCATACCCCAGCAGAGCACGGGAGCACCGAGAAGGTCGAATAGCCGACAACTATTTCTATAAGTTATTTCCCCCCATTCGATTTGACGAGTAGCCATTTTTCCCTCAAATTTTTACGGCTTTTCACGGGTATTTTTGATTGATGCTAATAAATGGATATTATGGATTCGCAATACTACAAAACACAAGAGAGCGAGAGAGAGATTCAGAGAGAGACAGCGAGAAAGAGAGCTAGAGAGAGATAGCGAGAGAGAGCGAGAGAGGCAAGAAAGAGAGAACTAGAGAGAAAGAGATAGAGAGGGGGAGAGAAATTCGCTCTTTCAAGGCCAAAAATCTGACTAACAGCTTACCAACCCTGAAAAGTGAGGGATAAGCTCGATGGATCCGTTCGAATCGGTTGACTCATTTTCTCTCGTCTCAAAAAAGCAATTCCTCCGATTCCGCAGCGCTCCTCGGGATGCACTCGCTATTGTCACGTAGCGAGGATGGCAGTGTTCGGAAAGTGGTCGTTGAGACGTCACTAGGACCTCCGGGGTCCCTGTACCAAAAAATGGACCTCCGTCCGGCCCGGAGGGCCGAAAAATTTTTGCCTGATATATATGGTCTAAAAAAAATTTTTCAGGATGAAGCCAGTGTCATCGGCAAGAAGGAATCTACCATGTGAAGCTGACAAACCCCCCGGCTTGGATAAACCAATAAATATATGGAGATTCGCATTTATTTGAATAAAATATGTACTACACCTACTACACGACCAAAGAAAGCAGTGAGTAAAGCAAGCAGTGTCAGCATGATAAATCAACAAGCCAGAGGAAGAGAAGCGAGAGAGAGGAGAGAGAGAGATAGAGAGAGAGGAGAGACAGATAGGGAGCGAGAAAGACGGTTTTTGCGCAGTTTTCGCGTTTTACTCCTAAATCCCGTTGCCGGTTTAAAAAGCAATGTATTACAGAAATGTGCGCCTAACACGTTGCATCAAAATCCGAAAAATGGAGATGGGTCATCCGACCCGATTTCGAGCTCGAGCAATTTCCAAAAAAATTACTTTTTCCCGGTTTTTCGCCTTTTTCTCCTAAATCCCTTCGCCCGCTTCAAAGGCAATCTATTACAAAAATGTGTGCCAAACCCTTCTACATTATAATCCGTAAAAAGGAGGTGGGTCATCGGACTCGTTTTCGAGATCCTAGGACCTCCGTGTTCAGAAACGGTCAATTTTGCAGTTTTCCCCTCTAACTTTTTTCTGCCACTATTGCTTTAATATCTATTACCGAAATGTAGAGCAGAAAATTCTGCGTCGAATGATATCCTGGGCGTTAAAATTAAACCCAAAGTTAAAGTGGTTCCAGGACCTCCCAAGTGGCGACGTCTGAAAATCGCTCCCCGACGCAACCTCTGCCTTCGTTTTCAACACCGCATATCTCGCCGTCATTCTACCGTTTCTCAAAATTTCCACCAGTCTGTAGCCCGCAGTCTGTCTACACGCTTCTACATTGCATCCATCCATCACCTCTTCTTCAGGTCAAAAATCGAAAAACCGCGCCGAGGTTTGTTTTGGGCCCCTTTTCACCCCAAATTTGGCCTGTTTTTCCGCACCTTTTCCCCATTGCTCTGCCCTCCCAAGAGCTACCAGGATGATCGACCCTCATTTCATAGCAAAACCCTTTCTCTTTCTGCTCACCAAATATGAAATCGTCCCATGCTCCGCTTCATGCCTAAATCCGGTCCCGTTTAGGTGTGTCGCCGATCGCTACCATCAATCATGGCCCCCTTTCCACTTCCTTCCTTCCAAATGGGCCTACACCTTCTCCCTTCCATCTACCAGTCACTTCTCTCTTTCTAGCGCTTTCCATCCGGCCTTTCTCATTTTAGCCTTTTACTTGCTTTTCCCTCAGCCTCGTTTTTCCCGTACCCCTGGAGCCAAATCCAAATTTTCGCCCTCATTTCCGCCGATTTTCCCTTTTTCTAGGACCTCCGGACCCTTTTCCCCTTTAAGACCTCCGGACCCCAGCCCGCGACATCAGGTTACCGAACACTGGAGGATGGTGACGAATGCGGGAAGATTGGTAATATCGAAGTTTTTTTGCTCAATGGGTAAATTGTTAGCAAGTGCTTCGGTGAGAGAGGGCGAGAAGAGAGAGAGGGGGAGAGAGAGAGAGAGAGAAAGAAAGAGATAGACATGGCACCTTAAAACCTTCCTTCGACCATCCCCTGGTATGCCTATTTTTGCAGGCTATTTTGTTTTTCTCTCCAAGAGTATTTTTTCAAAACTCAGGCTTTCCTATCCCTTTAAACCTCTTTTTCGCATTTTTAAACCCCACCTGTTGCCTTTCAAAAAGCAAAAGTTGCGCCCCACCCTTCTAAACCCAGCTAATACCTATGCAGGGGTCACTTTCTATTTTCCCTCTCTCTCTCTCTCTCTCTCTCTCTCTCTCTCTTTCTCCCTCTCTCTCTCTCTCCCCACTTTTCAGCTGTTGTTGATGTTTACCAAACTTCGATGCACTCTTTTGCATAAAAAACACCCGGATTGCCCTGGCCGATCAAGGGGGACAGGGGTATGAGTTTTCAAAGATAATGATGGGACCGAGGAGTCGGACTCACCGAAGAGGAGGGATGACCTCGAGGAAGAGGAGCAGGAGAATGGCTCGCGGAACAGAGGGCTCATCCCCCTCACAATGCGTATAAAGGAGCCGAGCGGAAAGTCGGGAATGAGGTGCGGGAGGAGGAGCGGAAACAGAGGTTTTTCCCGGAGCACCACCGTCTTATTGTTGGGTGCCAAACTCATTCCGGGGTGGAGGTGTGTCCTCTCGGCTTGCCATCGTTATTCATTCAGGCTCTTGCTTTCCCGCTGGTGCCAAGACCGAGGTTTCAGTGGTCCCCTGTGAAAGTTGCCATTCACTTTATGAAGCTCTGTTAGGATTACCGTAGCCCTACCTCAGTTCGGTTGCGCCAGAAAAGCGCTATTTTTATTCGAAAAAAGCTCTCTTGACCGTAATTCTACAGTATTCCCACAGGGCCTGAAAAATAGGCTTTTAGTTCTTATAATTTTGCCTTTTATAGCTTTTTATCTAAATTTCCTCCCACCTGTTTTTTTAATCCCTATCGAGAACTTCTTCTCTCTGAAAACATGCTTTGTACAGTTTTTTCAGTTTATCGTTAAACAATGCTATTTTTTGTTGTTTTTTTGCGTTTGGGCTTTGTCATGCAAAATTTGGATTTCGGCTTTATGATTTTCCAAAATTCCTAAGCCTTCTAAAGCCAAAAGCCGATTTTAGAAACACTGGTTTCTACCTTGTTCCGTACCTACCGTACTCCCTAGCCCTAGAGATCCAATTTTTTTGTGTTTTTCGAAATTTCTTGCCGTCAAAATGCACCTTCCCCTTTTTTCTCCAAATTAAAAGAGGTTAAGGGTTTTTTTACATTTCCTGAATCGTACGTGGTTTTACTCCCGCTCAAGCGTAATCGAATAGTCTCTCAAATAATTTAATTTTTCGCCAATTTTGGCCAGCAGTCAAATGTTGGAATTTCAACTTTCTATGCCCTCAAAAATATCTAAAATCATTTTCCAGATGATCGCAGCTCTTGCTTTATCCCTGGCGCTCCTCGTCCCAGTCTCCGAGGCTTGCTTCGCGTGCGGTGTCTGTCAACAGGGAATGTGTGGTCCTCCACCTCCGCCACCAATGCCGGTAAGTACAGAGCCTCTCCCCTCCCTCTCTCTCTCTCTCTCTCTCTCTCTCACTCTCTCTCGCTCTCTCTCACTGTCTCTTTATCGCTCTCTTAACCTCAAAATTCCAGATGTGCGGCGGGTGCAGCAGAGGGTATTCTTGCGGTTCTTACGGATGCTTCAAGGCTCGTGCTCGCGCCAGGTCCGCCAAGACGCTCAGCGTCGAGGAGGAGCAAGAGAAGGTACGGACTGTTTTTTGAATCTGCAGATTGCAGTTGTAGTTGGGAGCGTAAGCCCTTAACCTAAATCTTAAGAAAGCCCAGCTCGCCCGGCTGACCCCAGACCAGAAGTTCCAACGTTGCTGCGCGGACCGGAACCTCCCGGATCAGTGCATGTCAAAGTGTACTTATGGCACTTATACCAAGGCTACTTTGCAGGTACTTATCGTACTTCAGCGTTTTCTTGCGTCTAATTTCCGATTAGCTTGAACTGCTTGAACTCCATGGCCTATTCTAGAACATGTACTTCAAACTGGATGCGTGCCCGATGCAAGCCGCGGCTGATATCCATTTCTGTGCCGCTCAGGTGAGGCGAGAGTAAGAGAGGAGGGAGAGAGAGGGAGGAGATTGAGAGAGAGCCAGAAATCGGTATTTTCATAAATTAATTCATTTTTAGGGCAAAGACCACAGCGAGTGCTGCTACCGTAATGGCGTCACGACCACCCTGTCCGGCCCGAAATGTCTGACCTTCTGCGATCAGGTAGGATACGATTTCCGTAATCCACAAAATACGAATCTACCGTCATCCGAAATTTTTCCATTGTTTAGCGCCCCGGCCACATCACCCAACTCGACATCACCTATCTGTCCTGCTACGATCGCTTCGAGGAGATGAAGAGCTGCTTCTACTACGAGATGAGCAATGGTAAAATCTACAAGATTTTTATGCAAACGCGAAACGTTTGGTCATTCAATAATACCGACAGCCACACAAATACCGACACTCAAATTACTGGGATTTCTATTTTACTTGCGTGTAATTTAGCCCATTCGTTTCGTTGTCAGGGTTTTGGCTTGTCGGTATTTTAGGTTTGCAGGGGTTTGACAGCCGGTATTTGAGTAACAGCATTTTGGCTTGTGAGTCTCCATACTGTCGGCATTTTGACCGCGGAAATCCTTACTTGTCGATTTTTTTACTGACGGGTTTCTGACTTTTAGAATTTCCAATGTCGGCATTCTCACTTGTCGGCATTTTCGTTCGCCGGAACATTGGCTGTCGGGATTTTTAACACGAGCATTCTTAACTTCGATCTTGTCCGCCGGCATTTAACAGCCCGCACAAAAATTTGTCGGCATTTCGGCTTGTCGGTTCTGAATGTCGGTATTATGGCCGGATAGCACTCGTCCGGCAAGCCAAAATCTCCTAAAAATAAGCGAACACTTCCCAAACTCCGAATTTTCCAGGTAACGGAGCCACCGAGCCCCCAGTCTCCATCCTCGCCCAAACATTCGACGAGCCCCAGCCTAGCCGAAGCCAACTGTCCTCCCAGCTCTCCACCCAGTTGGCTGAGAACCGCGACTCTACCCCCGAAGAAGTCCCGCTCCAGCCCGACCAATCTGACTATGATGTCGTCGCGACAGCCCCCAGGGCCCATGGCACCCGCATGGCCAAGACGTTCAGCACCTAGGCTGCTCAGCTGGCCTTATAATCCCTATTTTGGGCCCCAGTTGTGTGTACATATTTATCCCAGTCGTGCAAGATAAAGGTATCATTGATTCATTACATTATCGCCAGAAATTCGGGTTTTTAGAGCTTCCTAAATGATTTCTGCTACCCTGCCCAGAGCGAGATGAACATCAAGGATCTCTGCTAGAATGCCTGAAGGCAAAAAAATGTCCTGATTTGGCGTTTACTAGTTTCCTAAAGAATATCTGCTACCCTGCCTAGAGTAAAATGGCTCTAAAGGATCTCTGCTCACATGCCCTTTTCCGGGTTTTCAAGCCAGCTACAGCCTCTCAAAGGGTCTCTGCCAGCCTGTTTAACCTAGAGCCTATTCCTAAGGAATCTCTGCTAGCCTTGCCCAAGTTAACAATAGGATTAAAAAGTTTTCGCTAGCTTCCCAGTGCTGCCATTTGCCCAAAATCCCAAATGGTCAATGCTAACCTACTGCGTGCGAAATTTTTTTCAAAAATCGCTGCTAGCCTGCCCAGAGACAAAAAATTAAAAGAATTTTAGGCTCGTTACTCCGAAATGGGTTTATATGGACATAAGATTGTTTCATCTGTCGTTCTTAACAACCCAACTTTCATAAAACAACTCTGCTAGCCTGCCCGCTAGATTCCTACAGATTCCCTGCTAGTCTGCGCGCTCTCCTTGTCTTTTTCGGCTGCTATTAGGTAATTTTTACTTTCCCAACTAACACTGCTAATAAAAACATCCTCAAAATCTGTGAGTACTTCTCGACTTTTGAAAATTTTCCATCACCCCTTCTTGTTGTTATTCTATTTGGAAAAGGTGAGCTACAGCAGCAAGAGAGAGCTAGTCGAGACGAGCCTTGGGCATCTTCCCTGGGCCCCCTGAGGGCATGTGATTGGGCTAATGGACTTGTGCATGGTTGGCTGCCGGAGGGGAGAAGAAGCTCTGTTATATTTTTTAGGAGACCTAAAACCAAATGTGCGTAAGAGTACGGGCTGTCGTTAGTAGCTTAGCGTAATTGGCGCGGAGGAATGACGCAGCAGCTATCATTTTAAAGGAACCGGCAAGCCAGGATTCTGATTCTGATCAACTCTCTATTCGGATGAATTTTAACCCGCGACGACACGCAACGCACGTCGCTGCAAAGCGAGGTGCGTGCGCTACGTGTCGCGATTGAGGGTGAAATTCGAACTTTGGAACTTTCTAGCCTCCTGGCTGAGTTTCCAAGCATACTCTTCCAATATTACGTATGCGAAGTGGCCTGTTTCTTCGCCAGTCCCTTCAAATAAATATAAACGATATAAAAATATACATAGTATTTATTAAATGCCTTCCCTCTAGCCATTCTTGTTCTAGTTTTGTGTGGGTGGCGTTGGAATGGTTAATCGGTCGGGGGAAGGGTCGCCATAAACCGGTCATATCCGCCCTCGACCCGTCATTATACAAAAAGGGATATAGGAAAACTGTCTGATGAAATATGACCGTTTTTCTATAGTAGCCCTAGAAGCTACCCGCCACTCTAAAAAGCGCGTGCATGCGCGTTTGGCTGTAGTATGGTTTTTCTAGCCTTTCTGTTTATGATTTTGTTACCTACGGATTCGTCTGGCCAGTGGCGAAGTCTATAGCCTACGCAATTCATAACCTGCCTTACACGTCCCCTTAAAAGCCCTCCGTTTTAGCTTCACGATCCCTTTAGCCATTGCCACATGCTTGCTGCAAGTTCTAGTTGCGAGCATGTGCCACACAATCCTCCGGGTTTGAAAGAGTAGCGGGGCAGGTCCGAGGGGACCGGCCCCTCTGGGTTGCGCCCTCTCCCCCCAGCCAGCTCGTGCTCACCCATCCTTTTGTCCCACCCTCATCCTCATCCCACCGGCTGGTTCTCCTCTCCTCTTTCTTTCTTTCTTTCTTGTTTTCCCACACCCCACCCTTTATCAATTTCGAGTCCCCTCTTTTGAAAAGGATCGCTCTCCGGCGCGCAGCACTCCGAAATACACACAGACACCAGCGCGTCCAAGGTATAATCTGGGCGCGTGCCGCGTGTGCCCACTTTTACGCCCCTGCTGATCATTTGTTTGATTGGCGGATTTCGCTCTCGATTTTTTGTGCTAGAAATTGATCCAATATGTGCGCTGAATCAGCGAAGAACTGGCAATTTTTGGCACGATTTGGCTGAAAACTTGCATTTTTTTCTATTTACTTCGATTTTGCTTTTAATTGCGAAGTTTTATTTGAGAACGAGCTCTATGTTTGCAAAGAAAAACTATGTAATTAGCCAGAATCATGGGGTTTTTTTAAATACGGATAATTTTTGGGACGATTCTGCGTGAAAGTACTTCTAATCTATTTTTCCCATCTTATCTTTGATATTTCTTAATCCTTGGTAATGAGTTTATTCTCCTTCTATTTCCAAAAAAACTGGCCAGAACCGTCGCTTTCGAAAGAAACGTACATTTTTACCCAGTTTGGTGAAATTTGCAATTTGTCATTTTCCTGACCTTTTTGCGCTCATACCGTCGAATTTTCAAGTCTATTGGGCCGAAAAACGACCCGGTACGGCGTAAAACTTGAATTTTTATATCTATCTCATAATTCTTGTGCTTATCGGTTCTCAATGGTTACCTTTTTATCGAAAAACTATTCACTTTCTTCATTTTCGACAGGAAAACCGTTGATTTCACGTCCGATTCGCCTTCTCCTCTGTAGGAAAAACCCTCCAAAAAATAAACCCCACCCAAAATCCGATACCCGCTCCCTTTCCCTGCCATTATTTTTCGTGAGAATGGGTTTCGTGCATAATTTTTTGGCAGCGACGTCCCTTTCGCCCCGGGACGCCTGGAACCCTAATCCGAGTCGGGTTTTGCTTTTGGGGTTGGAAATGCACCCGGGGCTGGGGCGCTAGAAAAATGGGTTTCCACACGTTTTGCAGCTGGGTGCCCGCTTGAAATAATCCCTTTCCTGATTTTCCGCTGCTTTTAAGGTACATGGGGGAACCAATTTTCACCGAGGAATGACTAACGCATTACTAGTAAATATGGACTATTTCTTCAAGCATTTTACGCCGTTTTTAGCCCAAAAAAAGATCAGAAAATGTAAGAAAAAAATCGAAAAACACTTTTTAAAAATAACTTTAAAAAGTTCAACATTTTGGAAAAGGTTCTTTTAATAATTTTCTAAAAATAAAAACTATTAAAACGATAAAATATACTAAGCAGCGCGCGATTTAAGAATGTAAATTCAACCCATGCTTGGCAAATGCAAAAACCTCATTTCTCACTTTATCAACACCCGGGAAAAAGTAACAAAAAATGTACACACACACTGGGCCAAGCACAGGACAGGGGCAAATAGATATGAATAGATATTTTCGTCATTCTCCCTCGCGACTCTCACATCGAATCATTGAATCTCACAACAAATCACGCACAACATTAATGGCCTCATTTCAACAGCGCGGCCACCACGCTCGAGACGTTCAGGGAGCGCAGGTCGCGATAGGTTTGCCCGCAGCCGACAAAGATGATCGGTTGCCCGGTGATGTAGGTCATCGACACGGCGGCGCCCACCTAGAAATTTGATTAAATAGTTTTTAAAAGTTAAAATAACAAAAATAAAACGTCTAATTAAATCTCTCTTTAATTCTGATAGGTAAGACTATCGTTCTACTAGTCTTCTCCCCCGATATTGCAAAAGTACCCAGAGGAAAACTACTTGTCCTTTTTATGCACCTTATCGTCGATCGTATCAAATTTCGTCAGCACCATTCCGTCGATGAGTCGTGGCTGCTCACCGGGCGGCGTGTGGTTGGCCAGGGCCTAAAATTCATTTTGGCAATAACCAGTAAAAAACTGACCTGATTGAACTTGACTAGCTGGTCGACGGCCTCATTTCCGACGAGCGCCTCGCCGACGAATAGCGTCAAGTCCGGCTTGTTGACGTGGATTAGCTAAACTAGGGATTTTACGAGGATCAACGCTAGGTCCTTGAAAGCCTAGAAAATCAAAAACTCACTTTTGCCAGCGCCCTCATCAGTCCATCGTTATCTTGCATTCGACCGGCGGTGTCCACCAAAACCACGTCCATCGCCGCTTCTTTCGCAATTTCCACGGCCGCGGCGGCCAGGCCCGCTGGATCTTTGCCGTATCCTTGCTCGTACAACTAAATTAAATAGATAGTTTCTTTATCAATTTAAATTGTACCTATAATCCAAAATTAATTTTAATCATAATAAAAAGTTGATTCCGATAACTTACCTTGACACTGTTAGGATGAAGGGCGTTCAAATGCTTGGTGTGTGTTCGAAGTTGCTCCACGGCACCAGCCCTAAAATGCATGTTCTTGGCCGGTACTTTGTCATTATCGGGGGAGCGGGCTGATTTTTCCTGTCTAGTTAAACCTAGTAATGGGATAGCAAGTATCTAGCGATCCTCCAGCCAAAAAAAACAGGTTTCGATACCGAAAAAAACTTTTAAAAAGGTGAAATTTTGACCAAAAAATTATTTTATATATTTTCTAATCCTAATTTTTCATACCTGAATGTATCTCCAGCAGCGATCAACACTTTATGCCCATTCTCATTCAACCAGAAGGTGATCTTGGCCAAGTTCGTGCTCTTTCCAACGCCGTTCACTCCTAAGAAACCTTTAAAAAATTTTGAAAACAGACTTACCGCAAAAAACAACAACATATGGGCGCTTCTCGCTCTTCGACTGCAAGATATCGCGCAGAATGTCGATTCGTCGCTTTGGGGTGAGCAGCTAAATGGATTTTAATAAAAAAAATTAATACTAATTTCCTTACATGTGTCAGCGATTCTCGCATCGCCTCCTTCACCTCGTTGTTGATGCGCGCAAAGGTGCCCAGCACTTTCCCCTCGAGTTTATTGGCCACCGAGTCGCAAATCTTTTCCGCCGGCTCGGCGGCAACGTTTTTCACTGAAAAACGGACAGTTTTCACCGGAAATGCGATTTTCCACGTCCTTTAGAAATTAAAGTATCTTTTTCACTCCATTTTCGTCATTTTTAAAATGTTATTTTCAAAATTAAACCCACTTATCAAATTCTCGCGCATTTTATCCATAACCGGGGCAATGTCGGTGGCGGTCAGCTTCTTGTTGCCGACCAACCCCTTCAGCTGGCTCAACCATCCGCCCTTGCTCGTCACTTTCTCTTCAATAACGCTAAAAAATATTATTTTCCTGCCTAGAAAGGTCAAGCTCACTCGTCATCCTCCTCCTCGTCGTCCGAATAATCCAAGTCCTTGATTTCAGCGGAATGGCCGACGTATTGACGCTAAAAATAAATTTGACTCTTTCGTTAATTTCTTGAAACTCGGACAATTTTAAAGGGCTGCCGACGGCATGTGTCGATCCCCCTCATCAACAAATTGGCAAGTAGCCAACAGGGGAGAGAGCTCGCCCAGGGGAGAGGCGCAGAGACATTTTCTTTCCAGCGCGTAACCGATTGACTATGCCGTCGGCATCCCTTTAAGTACACCCAACCTGCTCGTCCAAAAATCGCAGCTCCTCCGGGTTCTCCTGCGCCTTGCCTTCCGGTGCCGGGGCAGAGTAATCAAGCACGGCCGCCTCCTTTCCGCTGCCGCCCAACTCCCAAACGCGCTGGTCTTTTCCCTTCTTTTTCTGTTGTGGTGGCGATCTAAAAATAACGGATTCTCGTTTCAATTCAATTAGCAAAAACCAGCGTCCAAAAACTCACGTTGGCTCCTTTTTCTTCGGTTGTTTCATCTGCTTCATCAAAAATGCTTGTCGTTTTAGCTGTAGATCTTCGTCCTCATCGTCTGATCGTTTCGGCGCTGGCTTAGGTGATTCTGGGCTGGACGTCGGTGTCCTAAAAAAATATCATAAAAAGAAATGTCAAAATCCCACTGCTTGGCAGCCGGCTTCGGTGGTTCCGGCTTCTTCTTTTCTTCGCCAGGCCTCGAAATGATCATCGATTCCACGGTCTTTTTCGATTTGTAGGATTCCTGGTATGACATTGGCTTGCGCACGACTTGTGCCTCCTTCTCGCTCTCTTCCCGGTTGGATTTATAAAGTCTAAATCGGAATTTACAGCTTTGTAAATGGCATACTTTTGGAATTGTTTAGTAAAATCCTCAAAGGCTTCCGGGCCGCTCAGGAATATGTTTTCTTTATGGGAGAGGAATTCTTCGTAGTTACGACAGAAACTCTAAAAAAGCTTTTTTATATCGAACACCAACCCATACCGCATTGATATCAGCCAAAAGCTTATCGGCATAGGCCAGCTGTATGATGGAATGGTGGATAACAATGAAGAGCAGGTCATATTCATTGTCCATCCGGAATTTGAGCACCATGTCGTTGTGTTTGAAGTGGTTGATGTTGGCACGTTCCTTTAAAATTGACTTTTCGACGTTTTTATCGATATACCTGGGCCAGGACGTCCATGATAAGTTTGTTGATCGATTCCTCATATAGTTTATCGCTTTCCTAAAATACGATTGGAGATTTAGCAATTAAATTTACCGCATGATGCCAATAGAGCATGCCGCCCTTATCGATGACGGCGATGAATTCGATCATGGCTTATCGGGGCGGTCTAGAATCAGAATTTACGCTAGAATATGTATTTTTACAAATTTTAAAGAAACAATCAAGGACTTATAACTTTAATGAAGTTTTGCCAAAATCACATGTGTTTTCGTGGAACGTGATCGAGCGCACATTTTGGGGCCATTTGGATGCTGCATAGCCTTTGCAGTGGGGCGGCGCCCGCCGGCTGTCGATAGGGGCCCGCGTAGCCGAACTGCCAGACGGTCTAGATGTCGATGGCAAAAATGGGAATAAAATTAAAAATATAGCAGATTTCGGCTCAATTAACCTTGAAAAAACTTAAGGATGAACCAGTGTGAACGTTTTATTACCCATTTGACCAAAATGACAGGTGTAAAGGGTCAGATTTTCGCGTTTTTTTTTCAGGTTAAGGGTACTGTAACAGTAAAATTTCGATATTTTTCGAGGTGGTAGACTCATTTTTATTTGAAGCCTAGGCTGACTTCAGGCCTATCTGAGGGACAGCTTTGAGCAGCGGTAGGAAGCCTAACAAGAAGTTTTTGATTTTGTGGTTAGGTTTTGTGGTTTTACGTTTTTAGGCATTTTTAAAAAGGCTTTCCGGCTCGGAATTCTTCTCTCTATCAAATCAGCTATGTTTCGAGCCAAGATTTCGGCTAAAACCCACTCAAACTAAGATTTAATGAATTTAAGCGAAGCCTAAGCTAGGCTAACCCGGCGAATTTAAGCAAACACTCGATCCATTAACCTAATTCGCCCGCCATTTCCCCCCACCCCGATGCCACCTAATTCCATCTTTTTGTGTGGCCTTCTGAATGTTTGATGAGAGTGGCTGGGTGGCGTCGGTGCCAGGGAAGCCCGGCCCGGGTCGCGGAATATGTTTTTCCTGGATGCCGTCCGGGCAGCCCTACTCGCCATGCTATGTCTAGCGCGTGCTCTTATTTTTGAAAGCGGATCCCGTTCCGTTTTCGACGACTGGGCGAATTTCACTATAGTTTGGCACCGTATTTTTCAAGTGTTCTGGTCTTTAAGATAGGCGTTGCCTTTAGCTCCCAGTTGATTCAATTTTTTTATCAATTCCAAGCTATTTTTTGAAAATGCTAAAGATTTATTACCCTGTTCTGTTTTAATTTTGGCATTTTAACGAATACGAGTCAGCCTTTGCGGCGCCGAATCGCACGCTAAAGTTTTTAATCTGATTCGAATTTAATAGATTTTTCAAAACGTCGACTTTATGGTCTTAATCCTGTTTTTTAGAAAAAAATGCTTTTTTAACAATTTAAAGCTGTTTCAAACTTTGCTAAACGTGTTCTTTTTATTGTTTTACTTTTACTGTTCCTGGATTGTAAATGACTCCCACTCCCTCGCCCAATCTGCCTATGCACGCCCCTCAAATCGGCAATCGATCTATGCAATGCTGTGCGAGAAACGGGAAAAACGCCGCGACCCGCCTATAAACAGCCACTTGTCATAGATCCTCAAAGCCGAAATAAGCACATCGAGAGGGCCCGTTGCATCCTCTTGGCCGCACCGTCGTGGGCCCCCGGCAATTCCCCGGAGGGTCTTTTTGAGGGCCCTGGGCCCCCTGGACAGGCCCGAAAAAGGGCCCATTTCTCACGGCGACTTTCAGCGATATCAACCGGGGTGGGCCCTTGAGTTTGCGGGGATCATGTCCCATTTGTTGAAGCTGCTGCGTTTACGGTGATTTTTCGTTTTGGGAAATTTAGCTGGGTGCTTGTGCATTATTGGGGGGGGGCTACGCTTTTCTAAAAGTTTCTAAATTTTTCCAAAAAATTCGGTGAGAAACAGAGGAAGTGTTGCTGCACTTTTCGCTATTTCTCTACGTAAAAAATTTGCAAATTTTTAGGAATAAATACAAAATTTACGATTTTCGACAAGAAAAATTCAAATGTTGCAATTTTTTTGCACGTGTCTGGATCGTTTTTCACTTCAAAAACATTCATGTAGTAGTAAAACACCGTTAAAATAATTGAGATCACATTACTTGGGAATAATTGAGTACTGCGGTAATTGGGAATTACCCCCCCCGATAACGCAAAAAATCCTTACCGCATTCTCAGATTCGTTGATACCTTTAAATTATCTTTATTTTATGTACAATTTAAATCTATTATAGCTATAATTAGCTCCAAATAGCGTCAAGCGTTGAAAATCAGCTCCACTTCCTTCCTCCTCCGTCGCATCCAGGTGAAAAATTGACCCACGCAATTCCACATTTGACCCAATCAACCGCCCGCTTATCCCATCGTGCCACATTTTTTGGGGGTCCTGAAACCCCCGTTGAATATGGGGGTAATTCCGACCTCTGACCGGCTGGGTCCATTGGAGGGCCCCCAATTGCTGGGCCCTCCCTCTGCATATGGATGGGGCCCAATTGTGGCGCGATTCCACCACATCCCCCCCTCTGGCCCCCCTCATACACACCAAATACGTAAGGCGAGATGCCCCGATTTTCGCCCTTTTTTGTGTGGTGCCCTGCCGAGCCACAAATTCGCTATTTGCCCATGCGGGGCGCCCTGGTTCGGCGATGGGGCCCAGGGCGCTCATTTTGGCCCGGGGCTAGGGGCCCAAGAGGACCCAATTTTGTTGACCTTCTCATCTGGGTAGCTGGAATGAACGTTTTTTCTCTTTGTCGTAGCGAAAAATGGTGCCTCCTAAGGTTAAGGTGTCAAAACAAAAATTTGTCAAAATTTTTGGATGCTGGGTCAAACCTGTGGGGAAAATGTGATGCCTTTAAATTCAGAGCCCTTCCGTAGCCAATTACGCTATTATAACAAAAGCAAAGACTTAAAAATTAAATCGCAAAATTTCAAGATTTTTGGATTCTAGGTCAAAAAAACTTTAAATTTTCCCGATGCATTAACCCTGCTTTGATAACGATCTGAAACTAGTAAAAACCCTACGTTTTTAGGAAGGTAACGGACAAATTAAAAAAACATGTGCCCTACCGTTCTCTGCCTTGTTGCCCAATAACCATTCGTCTTTTTTTGTTTTCTTTCCCATATTTAGCTATCTTAAACTCATTTTCAACCATTTTCAGCTCGTCGTTCCCCGAGGGCCGCGGATGCGTGGATGCGCTTCGGGGCACGGGTGGGGCTGGCGTTGGCCGGGCTCGCCCTCGTTGTCTTCTTCATCGCCCTTCGTCTGTCATACAAGGCCACCGATGGTGATGAGGATCCACACGAAAATATTAACGGTAAGTTCATACCTAAACGGTTTTACGCGTTTTTATCGAAACTTACTAAAAATTAGTTTTTCACTTTCAAACCCTTTAGAAGACCCGGCCGCTCGATTGCTTATGGCTTCCGGTAGTTCCGGAGATGGACAATCGAACGGTAAGGCTAAAAAATGTATAGGTTAACGAAAATATCGTTTTTAGGACCATCACCGGCCCGTATCTCGGTTTCGGTAGCGATCGTGATGCTCGTCTCACTTTTGTCTGTCGCGCTTCTTATAACGGGTATGCATATCTATCCTTTTAACGCTCTAAAAGCTTTTTCTATGTTTTTCGTTTCCATCTCTATAGTTTGACGAAAATACGCAAAATACCTAAAGGCAAATTTCAGGTATTATCGTTGTGGCTATTACGGTTGATCCAAACGCCTCGTCATCAGCCGAATGCAGCGACATCGAAGAAGAGGACGACGAGCGCGAAACTGAGAATTACTACCCAGTAAGTCTCCACTAAAATCAAAAGACTTGGTATTCTAGGTCCCACACGTCATCTTTTGAGGTAACAAATCGCTCGCCCCTTTTCTGTTCTATCGCCGAATGCTAGCGTTTTATTAACTGCAAAGCTTCTTTACTACATTCTTTCCTTCGAAATTAGCACAGAAAATACAACATTTTCAGTTTTTCCATGCCGCACCCCCGGCCGGCTTCTTTTCGAGGGGCGATTTTGACCGTCTCTTCATTCCGGATGCTACGCAAAACCTGCCAAGCAGGAAAATTGAAATTTAATGGGTTTCATGTCTTTTTTTTATCATCCAAAAGGTTGTGAATTTCTTTGAGATTGAATTTTCTAAACGCTGACTACCAAGTTGCTCAACGTATCTTGCCTTTGCACCATGATACCATCATCCCTGTGATAAGCCTCTGCTCTTACCAATAAAATTCTATTCCAGCCAACAAGGGAACAGCGTAACAACATAGAGATCTGGGAAACCGGTAAAATCGGGGGAATGACAAATCGTGCGGGTCAAAACTTATAAATCATTCTTCTTCTATTCTTCCATGGCCATCGAATTCGACGGGACCTCATCGAGCGCAACACGATCCTTTTGGATGTGTTTGAAGCGGATCTAGAATTATGGATTCTGCAAGGAACTTTGGAATCCTACCACATGGTCATCGGGAAGCTCGGCCTGGTTTTCCTTGAGCACCTTCAATGGGAAAGGTTTTCCGGATAGCGGGAACATGGATAGGTTCTCCGGGTTGAACCTAAATTTAAATATATATTTATGGCAGCTTAATTTTAAGAAAGAAGGAAATTGTAAACGTTTAACTCTTAGAGAGAGATCTTTTCAAGTCAGAAAGCTTACTTCCGGGTCCGCAAAAGGGACATTCTGTCCTGGAAGAGCACGGAGAATCCTGTCATGAAAGCGTCGACGCCAGCCCGGTGAGATCCTAAAATACCATCAAATAGCGTTACAAATCCAATTTTTTTGAATCCAAAAAAATAGACTGGCCATGAACGGCAATTCGCGGCTTCCTTTCGGTCACTTCAGCAACTGTGGCGGTTCGCTTCGCCGGTGGAGCCGCGTTCGCCAGGATTACCGTACAAGAAACCACAGACACTTCGGCCTTGTCCTCGTCCTCCACGCTTGTCTTTACGGATGAGGTGATGTGCTCATACCTATAGAACTCAATTTAATCCCATAAATTGAAACTCAAAACCTCTTGATCCTCCTCTTTCGCCCCTTCATCGCCGCCATCGTTTCAATATCAAGTGCAAAATCCACGTCGTGTAGCTTCGTGCAGCCCTTGGTACGGCAGAATCCGTGTTGCTAAACAAAAAAAATCTTTTTCTACTAATTGCAAGAATATACCACATATTGTTGGCACACGTGGGTCTTCAGATCCACCGGGATTACATGGTCCGGAAAGTCCTGGGGCAGCGCACAGTTTGTGGTCTCTGAAATTGAAATTCAACTTTATTTTCCCTTTTTCACTAACCTAGCGACTTTCGCATCGCTCTCATCAGCTTCGCAACTTCCGGGAAATGCACCTCGATACAAGCACGATTTTTGAACGCTTCATAAACATTATCGCGTTGACTAAAAAACTATAAAAACATTTTAAAAGTACCCACCAGCGCCGAAAAACGTATTCCAAAAACGATCCCTTCATCCGGGTGGTATATTCCGCCAAATATTTCGAATCAATCAGCGCCGATTCGGGAGGGAAAAGCTCGGAAAGCGCGGCCAGGAAGTCCTTCAACCTGCAAAGACGAAAATTTTTAATTTGTCGTAAAAGCAAACTTTTCGGGGAGTGGCGTGTACAGCTGTTGGTAAAGGAAGCACATGTCCAGCCACCCGTTATGCAGCGCCACCGGTTTACGAGCTAACAATATGGTCGTAAAGATCCTGCGCAACGGGCAATCCTTCAAAAATATATTTTCATGCTTAAAAAATTCCACTATACCTTATCAAACTTTTGAGGGTGATACATAACGCCTTGTCCGACGACTTTATTAAAATCGAAGCCGTGGCGCACTAGAAATTCCATAGCGCCCGGTTCGATGGTAAACGGAGTGTTTGGGTAGGTGAGGATGTTGAAGACCTAAAGAAATTCTCAAAAATCGGAGAAAACATTACGTGTGATTGATATTTCAGGACTTTTCCTTCCTCGTCGGCTTCCGTATTTTTGAAGGTTGCAATTCCCAAAGACAAAATCCCGCGTGTCGCAGCGGATTCGCGAAAAGCAGCATATCTGAAATACATAGCACATTTTTGACTAGTGAATGGACACGAACCGTTGTTCAGTATCCTTCGACCTTGTCCCATGAGGACCCAAACCACTCATTTCCTAAAAAATAATAAAAATGACAAAACCTTCAAAAACGCACCAAATCCAAAGCCACCAGATCCGCCTCCTTGATACATACCAACAGGTAGGGCAGAATCTTTTCGAAATTCTCCTTGCGCAGCTCGAAAACCTAGATGACATAAGTAAGCCAAAAAAGGTCTATAATACCGGGATTTCGCTGAAATTCATCAAATCCGCCCGATCTTGATTGCCAGGCGCATCGTCCATTCTTCAAAAAGTAATATTTAAATGCAGTAATAGCCATTAATGCTGAAAATAGTATCTGAATAAACTGACTGTGCATTTTCGAGCTTGAGCAGATCACAAAAATATTTATTATACGAACCAGTAGAAGTCAGTAGTCAATAAAACAAGGCACACACTGGGAAAGAGCCGAGAGTTGAGTTTCAAGAAGGGGGAAAGCTATATAGAGTACTAAACAATCCTAGAATCATTGATCCTTCTTCGGGTCGGCGGCTATCGTGCCGTTCTGCTCTTTTTGGGCGGCGCGTCGTTCTCGGGCTGCCGTGAGGGCCCTGAAAATCGTTGTAAAAATTAAAAAAACTAGAATGTAGTTCTCAAAAAATGTTAAAAAATCACGCACCTGCTCAACGCGTCCCAAATGCCTCCCATAAAGATGGCGCAAAACAGGTTTTCGAACGGGGCGAACGGGTCATTTACGTGGAAGACCACCGCGGCCAGCTTGAAGTAGATGAAGAAGCCGACGATGCACTAGAATTTGGTTTTTTCGAAGGAATCAAAAAACGTACCAAGTACACCAAGTCGTGCGGCGCCGACACGTAGCTGCTGTTCTTCTCCAGGGCAAAGATGGCAGCGGCAACGAGGGAGGCCTTGGTGGCAAAAGACGGCCGAAGAACTTCGTTGTGGTTGGGCAGCCAAACGCCTCGGACCAGCTAAAAAAGGTATAAATCAGGTTATAAATAATTAAGTACATTTTATTACGAAATAAGCAATTACCTGTTCAACGGTGCGCACTACTCCTGCTCCAGCTCCCTTGGCAGCACCGACAAGCACCTAAAAACGCATTTTTTTCGAATTCCATGGCAAAAATTAGTTAAGATTTGTAAATATTCTTCAACGATTCGAAAAAGGTGTCGGTATTTATTTTCGTATCTTACCCACCTGCACAAGCCATGAATTGGGGTACAGCTTTGCGGCGTGCGCGACTCCATGCGATACCTAAATCCATTTAATAAGTATTTTTTTAGCTTTCCAAACCTTGTGAGCCCGCTTGACCTCCTTGAGCACGGCGAGCACGCATTTCACGGGCAACACCTAAAAAGGATCTCGAAGTGAGAACGGGGCAACGAGCAGCTACCTTCGACAGCTTATACACGGCATCAAAAGGGGCATAGAAGACGAGGTACCAGATGACTGTCGCCTAAAACGGCAATGTAAATATTTGCGGTTTCTTCGAAAACTGGAAAAAAACAACATTTTGCTACTAACCAAGATAATGTCGTCGTGTCGTTTGAATGGGGCCACCACTGGCTCGCCGAGCAGGAAATTTGCCAAGAATGAGTCGGCAAAGCACATCAACATGCTAAAAATCAACCTTTTACAATTTTTAAAAAATTTCTAAAGTTCTTTAGCGATTATTTAGAAGATTATAATTCTAATCGCAAGCTTCAAAAATATATAAATACCTGGAGAGCCAGCATGACAATGGGTGCTTCCTCGAAAAAATACTCGCCGACCCGCCGAGATCGTCCCGCACTTCGATAATCATCTAAATTTTTCATTTTTATTTATTTTATCACTTTACCAAAATATAATGTGCAATGTCAAAGTAGGGGAACATCTTGAGGCGGTGCAGCTGGGCCCCGGCCTCCAGGAGGATGTCCTAAATTATTTTGCTAAAATATGAAGGAGCAAGCTAACCTGGTCAAGCTGCACAAAGTCCAACATCGCGGTCGGCGGGCCCACCGGGGCTGCGGCGGTATTACCTAAAAAAAAAAATAAAGTTTTTAGCAATCATCGAACATTATAGGAAAGCGGGTTTTTAGGCCATAATGATAGGATGATACGAGGCAAAACATAGCCCGTCCGATAGTTTCAAATTCTGAACAGAAAAATTTCCTAAATTTTATATTTTGTTAAGCGGCGGCAAAAAAATGTGCAAAATCGGTCCTTTCAGAGCAAATTTTCTACAATCGTTCGCTTCCGGTAGTTTTTCAAGGGTTGGATTTGTTTAGAATGTCAACGCCCTATCCAGTCAGCTATATCACATCGAAAAACGTTTATCTAAAAACCACCCTTTGTTAGAATGAAATTACGATGTGTCAAAAGATCGCCATTGAATAAAAAAAATGTGGGCATTATTTACCAACCCCCAGCCCACGTCAGATTCCCAGGCGAGGGGAAGGGACCCGGGGCAGTGCAGGCTGCGAATCCGAGCCGGGAATTAAGATTTGCCCGGACAGGCGGAAAGCAAATAGCGGGTCGTGTCGTGGGATCGATAGGTTGGCCGGTGGGGATATCGGGATATCATGGTCTATACGTCCCAAGCCGCTCTAAAACAGCTGAAACCTGCCTTTTACTAATAGACAATTTGTGTTTCAAATGCCTCCAAAAACGGAGCCCCTATAAATCACCAAAACCCTCCCAAAAATGTTTCAAGCCGTGAAAAATGTGGCCACCGTGCGGTTGCCAGGCTCGGAATCCATAAGTCGACCCATGAGGGCTCGACGAAAAGGGCCCTCCTGTTGCTCAAGGGGGGCCCAAAGGAATTACAACGTCTCTGTCGATGCTTTGCTCAGCACAGGGGCTCCCCTGGGGCCCCAGACCATTTGCTGCTCTCCTGTGTTCCTTCCGCCCTTCGAGCGTGGTGCCGACAGAAAGGCAAAAAAATGTCTGCAATAACTCTGTAGTTTATCATGTTCTTTTCGTACGCCTAGATAAAAATAAATGAAAAACATAAGGTTTAGCTAAATCTTATGATTTTTATTTGATTGCGGACTAACGTCTTTTTCTGCACGACCTGCGTGTATGCGAATTATGAAAACTATGCAAATTATCATCTGTATTTATTAATTTTTGGTATATTTAGATCTACAAAGAGAAAATATATCCAAAATTATAGCTTATTACTGTTAATCCTTGCGAATTAGTGTCTTTTTTTTTGCTTGCCGGAAGTGAAACCGACGAAGCCCGTTGAACGCTGTTTTTGTGTTTTTTTTATTTATTAGTTTTAGATATATTTTGATATCGAAAAAGAATGTAATAAAATGATAGCTTATTCTCTCATTCTATTGCGGATTAGTATTTCTTTTTGCTTTGGTCAGAGATCGAAGCGAAATAGCTAATATTAGCTTTGGGGAAATTTTGACTAGTCTGGGGAAGTGGTGCTAAAGCGTACCCCACTTGCGCACTTGCGGCGCGACACTTGCGGCGACACGCCCGACACCCCGGCGCACCCCCCCCCCCCCCTTTTATTTTTTTTTATTTTTTTATTTATTTTTTTATTTTTTTTTTTTTTTTTTAATTTTTTTTTTATTTTTAAAAATTTTTTTTTTTGTTTTTTGAAAAAAAAAATACCATTTAAAAAAAAAATCTACTCCCCCCCCCCCCTCTCAAAAAAAAATTTTCCCCCCCCCCGGGGGGGTTGGGGGTGGGGAGGGGGTTCCCAATTAATTTGGGTTTCCCAAAAAAAGGCCCCCGACGCCCCCGCCCCTTAATAAAAAAAAAAAAGAACCCCCCCCCAAAACCAACACCCCCCCCTCCCCCCCCCCCCCGGGGGCCGTTTCCCAGTGGGTTTATTTTTTTTTTTTTTTAAATTAAATAAAAAAATTAAAAAAAAAATCCTAAAAAAAAATTTAAATTTAAAATTTTTTTAAATAATAAATTCTCCCCCCAATTGTTGGGCCAGTGTCGCGCCGCAAGTGTCGCGCCGCAAATGACCGCGCCGCAAGTGTCGGCCGCAAGTGTCGCGCCGCAAATGTCGCGCCGCAAGTGTCGCGCCGCAAGTGTCCGCGCCGTAAGTGTCGGGGAGCCGCTAAAGCAAAGTACTCAAAATCACAGGTTTTCCAAATCACACGGAATCTTGGTGAGAGGAGGGGGACAATTGTCACCTAATGTAAGGCTGTAGAAAACTGAAAATTGGATATGTACAAACGGCCTACTAAATCTAAAACGCGGCCTGCTACTTGGTCTTTTTCGTCTCCTTCTTGGTGCCGTTTTTCTGTTGGGTCACGGACTCGGCGAGGAAATCCTCGTTCGTTTTGTTCTTTTTCGTCGCTTTTACCTGAAGCAATTTTTATTAGGCGCAGATTTTTATGGTATACCTCGTCTTTCGTCGTTTCTACTGCTCTGGAGAAAGCGTCCCAAATCCCGCCCATAAATATGGCGCAGAACAAATTCTCCAATGGAGCCAGCGGGTCCTTTACGTCAAGGAACAGCGATGACAACTTGAAATACACGAAGAAGCCGACGACTGTCTAAAAGTACAAAGTTCTAGATTCCATTATATTGCCAAACCAAATAGACGAGATCGTAGGGCGCCGTTATCAGGTTGGAGTTCAGTTCGATCGTAAATATCGTCGCCGCGATAACACAGGCCTGGAATTGCTCTATTAAACACACTTTGGCGAAGACAAGCGTGAAGCGGTCCAATTTACCTTTGTCGGGAACGTTGGCCGCAGGATTTCGTGGCTATGCGGCGTCCAGACTCCGCGGATCAGCTGGAAATTAGAAAAATAACATAATTCGTAACGTTTGTACCTGTTCTACAGTTTTGACGATACCACCACCGGCGCCCTTCGATATCCCGACCATAGCTTGGACCAGATAAGATTCTGGATAAAGTCGACGAGCGTGCGCAACGCCGTGGGATACCTATATTGTTCATTTTATTGATTAAAAATGTTAAAATCGAAACCTTATAAGCCCGTTGAATCTCCTTGAGCACGGATAGGACGACTTTAATCGGGAAAAACTTGGTTAGCTTGTAGACGACGTCGAACGGAGAGTAGAATATCACATACCACGCGCAGGTTGCCTAAAAAAATAAAAAGTTCCAGCATCCAGCGGAAATGAAACGCAAGGAATAAGTACTTACAACGATAATATCGAAATGGTCCTTGAAAGGTTCGATCGGAGCCTCGCCGAGCAAGAAATTCGCGAGGAATGTGCCTAAAGATATTTTTTTGAGAACTTTAAAGATTGCTAACCGGCAAATGAAATCATCATCGTCGAGAGCCAACATGAAAACGGGTGCTGCCGCGCGAAAGGAAGAGCTTGGAGCCCTAGGTCTTCTCGGACGGAAAGGGCAGCCTAAAAAGATTAACTATAGTTATAACCAATGTTCAACTTACAAACAAGTAATGAGGAATGTCAAAATAAGGCCACATCTCAATCTTCTGTAATCGTCGACTGTAGTAGACGAGGAGATCCTAAACAATACATATAAAATTTTTTTAAACATTTTCAAACCTGGCTTAGCTTCCAGTCATTTGGATAAAATGACGTCCAATCCGTTGCGCCGCCATTGCCGGCCGAGGCAGCACCCATTTTGGAAGAAAAACCCTGGAAAAAACTTATAGAATAATAAAACAAGCGTAAAATCCTTCAAGTTGAAAAATCCAAAAGGGTAAGGTGTGGAAGACAGCCATAAATCATGTGTTCACGCGTGTTGTTATCAGCAAGTGGCCGGGGTAGTGCGGCAACACGTATGGCAAAGGACAGCTGGATTTGGCTTCTGGTGGCGTTTTTCAAAGAAAGATTTCGCAGGTGCACCGGAGAGTTTTTCGGCGTTACCTCGGTGATCTTACGGGCTAATTAAAACTTCAGGACCGGTTTTCGTGAAAAGGAAGGTGGTAAATAATATATTCTAGATGATTTTTAGGTCTTATGAAAGGTGTAACGCTGTTGAGGATGCACAGAGCCTGCTGGGAAAAGGAAGAAATATCGCAAGGTACAATTTAGTGAATAAACTCTGTATAACCAAAATATCCCAGGTAATTATGCATTAGTACAGCTAAATTAGACATTTAAGAAATCAGAGGGTACCGTTTGTGATAAGCTATAGCTTCCGGATTTCTAACGAAAAAATTATAAATTTCTCCCTGGATTTATGCTTTTTCGAGCCAATTAAAATTAGAGATCGGCTTCTTGGCATAAGGAAAGTGATAAATAATAAATTCTAGAGCGTAGGAAACGTTTTACAAGCCTCAAAAGCCGCGGATGAAACCCGGAACTTTCTAGAAAGTCTAGCAAGTTGTTGCGTTGAAATTTCGGCCGGGCCGACTACGAGGATTACAATGCGCATTGGGCCAGTGCGGCCAGGGCAAGGGCTACGAACAAAAGGGCCAACAGAGGCCCCAGACCGCTTGCAAAAACGACCAAGTAACTAATCTGCCGAGTGAGATATGGTGTGGCTAATGAGGTTTACGATGGGGATTGAATTTTCTGAGTTTTTGGGTTTTTACCTAGAATTTCGAGCAAATTTTCCAGGACTCTGTACGCTACGCGCCTATCGACGGGTTCTTAAAAATTTATTAAAATTAAGTAAAATTTGATTAATAATCGAACGAGCACTGGAAAAGTGTTATCTAGTAAACCTTTATTAGCTTTTTAAAGAATGCACTTGTGTGCTAGCCAAATGATTGATTTAAAGTCGGATGGAATAAAAAAATGCTTTAAAATGTGTTAGATATAAGCAACGTATTTAAAAACGCGCAATTAAAATAAAAAAATATGGAAAATGGGGGCTTTTCCCTTCCCTGCTTTCGGAAATCAGTCGCAAGATATGTTTAAATTCCAAAAAATGCGAATTTATTAAATTTAATTGAATCATAAAAACCTCGTAAAATATAACTTCTGGCTGATTTTCCTGGTCAATTTAGCCATTTTCCATGCACCACTGCAGTAGGCTTGATTTCGAAAAATGCTCGATAGAAATGTTTTTTTTTGAAATAACCAAAAAACCATTTTATGAAAATGAATTAATTGGCGAAAGTCGTGAAAATGTCGTCTATACTTTTCGGGTCAATTTCCCCATTTTCAATGCCCCCCCTCAATCGAACATCGATAAAGCATCGGATGAGCGAATGAAAGGCTCGTATTGCGAAAACACGTCCGCCCACGGGCTAATCCACAAAAAAGACGATCAGGGCCCATTTCCAGCGGCAATTCAGCCCAAAATATACACCCTTGGCTACAGGCTGACTATCGGCAAGCAATTCGCTATTTCGGGCCGCCGTCACCAGCTTAGCCACGCGGGCAACAACACTGGAATTTGCTGCCGACACCTGAAATTTGCATGATTTTTTGAGCCCTTTTTGGGGGGTATGTGTGGGTAATCGTTTGTTTTGATGGGGATGGATGGGGTAGGAAACATTGTCATTTTTCGGTCTTGTTTTCAATTTGTCCCACTTATTGTGGATCTGGTGATGCTTCTGGTTTTGTGGTTTAATTGAAGCCTTTCGGTTTTGAATTTTGAGTTTAATTTCAGTTTAATCAACCTACGGTAAGGTTTCATCGATCCCTAAATTGTTGATCGATATATTTTTTTCTCAAAGATTCACTGCTAGTTTGCCTTCCAAAATCGCGATTCCTAAACGATCGTTGCTAGCCTTCCCTCTGACCTTTCGCGAAGTGTTTTTGTAATTTGAACGTGAAAATGTCAATGAGGTCCCTATAGACTCCAAATTAGGCTCCGCCCCACGTTCCCAAAGAAACCCTGCTAGCTTGCCCTTTATCACCAGATTTCCCAAATACTCTCTGCTAGACTGCCTTGTGTGAAAGCTACGGCGCTATTTTGATCGAGTTAGGCTAGGAGACTTCGTTGCTTACTCGACAATCGTTGCTTCAAGCCGAAGCCTAATCCTAAGTCTAAGCCTAAGCCCTAAGCCAAGCCTAAGCTATGCCTAAGCTAAGCCTAAGCTAAGCCTAAGCTAAGCCTAAGCTAAGCCTAAGCTAAGCCTAAGCTCAGCCTATGCCTATACCTAAGCCTAGGCCCATCAATAAGCCTACGCCTAAGCCGAAGCCAGTCCCATGCCCACTTTAAGCCTAAGCCTAAGCCGATGCTTAAGCCCAAGCCTAATAAGCCCAAGCTTGGCCTTTCCGCTCCTTCAAAACCACCCAAAACCTTTGCTGTAGATCCCCACTTCCGGCTCCCCCCTCACATTGGATAGGCGCCGAGCATTTGGGTCATAAATTCCCGTGGTCTCTGTATGTTTTACGGGAAAGGGGGAGGTGGTAAGGTAACCAGGGTCAACGAGCCGTACTCACTTTTTATGCGGCTCTCGCTTAAGAGGAGAGGAGCAAGAGGTGGAGGAGGCCAACCTGTGCACAGGAGTGTCGTGTACAGTAGACGGCTCGTAAACGGCATAACGACGCGTGTCGACAACCCAGCTGAGGTGGAGGGGGGTGTGGGGGTCTTGTTCGAGTATAGGGCTCCGAACCCGACCAAGACATTTTATGGGTGATGTGGATGGATGAATGGCCTCTCTTCACCCATCATATATTGCTCCTGTGGCTCGACAGATCAACGCATATGGGGCGCCGCTGCCCCATTACCGTAACCCCGGGTGAGATCCGGGTGTGGCGGGTTTCATGATTGTGTGAAGTGGAACGGATTGGAATGTAGGGATGCTGTGGTCGGTTTTAGGAGAGAGAGCGAGAGAGAGAGAGAGAGAGAGAGAGCGAGAGAGAGAGAGAGAGAGAAGGGGCTACAAGTTGGCATACGGAGGCGTAGCTTGCTTAGGTTTACAAAATACCTAGCACGCGCTCCATGCTTAGGCTTAGGCTTAGTTTTAGGCTTAGGCTTCGACTTAAGCTGGCTTAGGCTTATGCTTAGGCTTAGTCTTATGCTAATGCTTAGGCCCGGGTGTAGGCTTAGGCTGAGGGTTGGCTTAGGCAGGCGTAGGCTCAGGCTTAGGCTCAGGCTCGGACTTTCTTTGCTTAGGCTTCAACCGGATTATGGTAATACGGTTAAAAGATCAGTTAAAAATCTGAATTTTTGAAACGTCACCCCCAATTTTCCTCCCCAAATCAAACCCAATCTGCTCTGTTCCCCAAATCGTCGGGGCCATATTCCCATTTGGTGGTGGGTGAATTTACAGCCAAAAAACCCCCGATGGGAGCTTCGCTGCGGGACGCCACCGACTTCTAGCGTGCGCCGACCGTTTTTTCGCCCTTTTTTCGCACCCTCACTTTTTCGTGAGGGGCGCGTGCGTCAACGGGCCAAATTGAGGGCGGATGGGGAGGAGGGCGAGGAGGAGAGCATCAGCACAACCGATTGGCCGGTGTCAAGCTGGGAAACGATTAGGTGCCGCCTTTCAACTCGCAAGGAAGCCGATTTTTTCGTGGGGTAGCGCGAGATTGAGAAGCCATTTTTAAAGGGACTGGAAGGTAGGCGGCGGAGGTTTGCGTTTTTGCCTTTAGCAGCCTACAGTTAAGCTTAAGCCATAGTCCAAGCCAAAGCCCAAGCCTACTGAAGGCTAAGCCAAAGCTAAGCGTAAGCCAAGCCGAAGCCTGTTTCCAAATAAACTAAAAACATCCACTTCCTTCGTCCAGGCGTCGATAGCTACACGACGCTCCAAATGACATTGAATCGCATTTATTTCCTTTAGCAACGTGTCGTGACTATTCGGAGCATCACGTAGCAGGTTTCAAGCTGTCGAATCCCTTTAAATAGCCCCCTTCCTGCTAGGACAACCATAGATTCCGCTACAATCCTATTACCACCTTTGCAAGCCCAGACCCATCCCATTTTCTAGATATTTCTAAGGACAGAACGAAGATGTGTAGGGAGGTGCATTCTGTATGAGTCGGCGTTGTATGAATCAGAGTGCCCGCGGCGTAGATTACTATTAATTTCATTCGCTCTTTTCAATCGGCAACGGGGGGGAGGATGCGCCCCCTTCCACAGCACTCCGGAAATGGTACGAGTTTCGCCTTTGTCGGGGGCGGGATGTGGAAAGTGTAGTGTTTTCTGGGGCCCTTGTCCAGAGTTCAGAATTTATCGGCTGGCTGGCAAGGCTCAGTGATCCTTTGTGAAACCTCTGGAAGAGGTATTGCTCGCCTTAAATTTTAATTTCCTTCTAAAGCTTTCTAAATTCACTTTCAATTTGATTATTTGCCGGCTTCCGAAACAGGCTAGGAATAAAATCGTTTTTTTTTCATTCTTATACTAACCTACAAAAGACAACAAAAGACTAAAAACCGCCTGGGATTTCTTTGAATTACTGTCATTTTCCCTAAATTCATTTTTCCTAAAAATCAATTTTCCTAAAAGTCATTTTTCCTAAAAATCATTTTTACTAAAAGTCATTTTTCCTAAAAGTCATTTTTCCTAAAGTTCATTTTTCCTAAAACCGCGGAATTACCGAAAAGGCCTCAGTTCTTTAGTTTCTATGCATGAGAAAATCGAAAAATTTTTATAGTAAATTCAGATATGCCTAGAATGGTTGTAGGAAGTATTTTAGTTGCGCGTTTAGCCTACATTTGTGTGTTTGGAAGTGAAAAAGTATCAATGATAAGAAAAAAATTTTTTGATAAATGTCGAC